GGGACGTCCCATTGTCTACAGATGGGTTTGGGGTCTCTGCTCTGACCCCCCTCATTCTCATATGATCTCACAGGCTGGTGTGCTTCTTCCATGTGAGCTTGTTGCTTCTCAGCTAGATGGCCGCTTGTTTATCTTTAAGCCTTTAAGACCCCAGACCTATCTCTTTTGATAGCCAGGCACCATCAGCTTTCTTCACATTTGCTTGAGCACCCATAAAAATTAGTTTTTGATATGTATTTTACCTACACTTCTGGGTGTTTCTGGTAGGACGGTTTTCAGGTTAGGCCAATCTACCATATTTTCTGTTAACTAGAAAGTTTGTACAGAAAAACTGCTTCCATGGGAATAAAATTGTTGAAAGGCGGATTCCACCGCCTTCGTGTAAAGAGCAGCTTCCAGAAAGGCTGTGAAACAGAGAGCCGCGCTTCGCCTCTGTACGGGTGCTCACGAGTACTTGATGCAAAACGCAACAAGCAGAGCTCTTTTCTCTGACGGGGATTAGACAGCCCTGGACAAAGAGGCTTCCTAGTGGAGGGACAGCACAGATCCCCACCAAACACCGGTCAGTCTCACCACAGGAGGAAGGGGCCGTTGAGGAGGGTGGGTTCAGTGCCCCAGAGGAGGCAGCTCAGCGTGGCTCCCGAGTCCCCAGTGCCCACTCAGCATGAGGCCACGGCCCAGCTCATCGGGCGAGGCTGCGGAGCCTGGTGTCTGGCCTCGGCTTTCCCTTTCTGTTTGTGAGTCTGAGGCTTGACTCCTTTATAAAGGACGCCAACTGACTGGTCAACTGTGCCTCCACTATGCAGGCTCACCCAAGGGAGAGGCGTGGCAAATGGGGGCTGAGTGTGGGCCCCTCTGAGCCCACTGGCATGCTCTGTCCACAATTCCTTGGGGCTGCCACGGTCCTGGGCTCTCTCTTGCCAAAGCACACCTCTTTGCTGGGTTGCTTCTTTCCAACGTGTGTGTGTTTGATGATGATTGATGATGATGATGATGATGATGATGATGATGATGAGGCACGGCCCTTCAGGACTATTTCCAGCCAGAGGACCTGGTGTCCTCCCAAGTCCAGCACGTGGGGGATGGAATCTTGCTGTGGTGTGTGGTAAGCTTCTTGTTTGGAGTTGCTAATCTTTCCTTTGGTCTCCTGGCGTTTTCTCCTTTCCAGTCCCTCCGTAGGCCAGCTTGGGCCTTCTCCCATGGTGTCCCCCTGGGGAAGTGCCCACCTCTGCCTGTCTGCAGCATGCCTCCAAGGCCGGGGCTCAGGCCTTCAGACCAGGTCGGTGCCCCTCTGCCTCAGGGCAGGTGGGAGCCGGGAGCAGACCTTTAAGACTAATACAGGAAATAAACAATGTGGAGTCTTTGGAAACGTCTGCCTCAGAGCAGGTGGGAGCCGGGAGCAGACCTTTAAGACTAATACAGGAAATAAACAATGTGGAGTCTTTGGAAACATCTACCCATTGGGTCCTCAAAGGCTGTAAGGTTTGCCCATCGGGATTCATGAGGAATTTCTCCATGCCACCTGAGGCCAGGGTCCAGGCTTGCCTGCAGGCAGAGGCTCTCTGAGGCCTTGCCTTGTAAAGGCCGTGCCGGTCTGAGGCTGCCGAGGCTGAGAAACTGGGCAGCCGCCATCGGGAAGTCCCGGTGTGGGGCAAAACTCTGGGTATTCCTCAGGTCGGGACAGCAGAACGAACGCGGGCTCACATCGATCTTTTTCCACAGGTTCCTTCCCCGCCCCGGAAAAAAAAGAGACTTGTAGTTGTATGTGCCACACTTGGCCCTGAGATGTGTGCCCTCCAATAAAAACCAACAGCTAATAGACTTTGAAACTCAATGAGGGCTGAGGCCCTGGAATGAAGCAGGCGGACCACCTCTAAACGAGCCAGCCATTGTGGGACTTCTGAGCCTGCCCCTCCCCCCCAATCCTGCCCGAGAAGAAACAGGAAAGGATATCACACAGAGCTTGGGGCCTGATGACCTGCATGCAAATCTTGGCTCGGTCTGATCGGAGGTCAGTCGCTCACCTCTCCTCTGAGGAACAGGTGCCATCGTTTTACCTACCTACAACCTACAGAAAACACTCAGAACAGTGCCCCAACAGGGTGAGCTATTATGATCGGGGCTTTGCAACCACTTGATCGGAGAGCGTTTCTGATTGTGTTACATTCAGGTATTACATGTCCCTTGTTTCCACATTAGGTTTTTGTTTCTTTTAGAGGAGTGAGCTAGCCCCGTGTTCGTTTTTCACTGCACGGTTAAAAAAAAAAACAAAAACGAAAAGGCTGGAAAAGGAAAAAAACTAAGAAGCAAAAAAGCGTGCAGCGTCCAGCCACCTACCCTTTCCAAGTCACGCAGGGAGACCAGAGGCTGGGCAGGGTGTGGCCTCCTCTAACTGGGTGAGCAGAGGGCAAAGATAGGACTGGTGCGGAATGCCCTCCTGAATTAGGGCTGGAAAGTAGGTCTGTTTGGGTTTTGTTTTTCTTCCCTATTTCCTTTCCTTTCTCATGCTCATCCTTTTCCCTTCTGGTATGACAACCTCTTCTCAATTTTTTCCTCCTTCCCAGGAGTGGGGACCACCACCAAATGAAAGGCGCGGATGCTGGTTGAATGTGGGTCTCTGGAGGCTGACAGGCAAGGGCTGGCATGGCGAGGGACGGGGCCCTGGGAGGCCCACTTCCTACTCACAGCCCCGGGCCACAGTCAGACGCCTGGTCTACTTTTAAAAGGGTCACCATGTGACCGGCACGGTGTTGCCTCAACCAGTGGTTAAAAGGAAAGTGTTTGGGAAAAGGGAAGGCGCTTGCTTACTGCACGCTGAGGTCACGTCCTTCGGCAGAGCCACGACCGGGATACTGGGCCAGCCGCACGGCCAGTGCCTTGAGCCGCCGCTTGCATTGCAGGAAGTCCTGGGTATGATAGAAGTCAGTGGAGGCCGAGAGGGGCAGTCCATCCCTCACCCGTACCACACATGCAAAAAAGATCATGGACATGGTCCACGAGAGACGTCATGAGGGCACCTGAGGGAAAGAAAGGCACCATGTTACTGAGGGCACAGACAGCCCCTGAAACGCCCAGTCCCCGGTCATTCCAGCGGCCGCTCCCATGACAATGCAAACGCCACTTGTAGTTTCATTTCCCTGTCCCACCGCCATGCCACTCTCATCTCTCCCTTGGAGACCTACTGGTGTTGGCAGGTGAGCGCTACCCTGCTAACAGCACGGTCGGCGGTTCAAGCCCATCAGAGGCTCTACGGGAAGAAGGCAAGGCTGTCTGCTCCCATCATGAACTACAGCCCAGACACTGTGCAGGGTCGCCGTACGTCGCAGTCTGGCTTTGGCTGGTGTTATTCTAACGGTCTCTTCTTCTCTGCTCTCTGGTGACGTGCTCTCTCTCCAGAATTGAGCCAAGCGAGACTCGAGAGAAAGAGAGCGAGAAGCATGGGGGGCAGGGCCCTAAGGACTCAGGAGCAACAGCAGCAAGGAGCCGAGGGGCACAGGACACACCTGACACGGGGCCAGAAGGGGCTTGCGTCCAGCGCCCTGTACCTTCCAGGTGTGGGGAACCCAGGGGTGAGTGGCGATACTGGGAGCGTAGAGGTTGGGTGGGTTGGAAAGGGTGAACCGATTACAAGGATCTATATGTGACCTCCTCCCTGGGGGACGGACAACAGAAAAGTAGGTGAAGGGAG